TTAGCTAAACAAAACAACCAAAGCTTCCGATTGGCCCTTCCATGGGGAGAGGACAGAGAAAACGGGTGCAACAAGCCAACAATCTCGAGCCACCTTGCCTCATAAAGGCGGCTTCTTAGAGACCAAGGACATGGAAGCAAACCCCTCGCACCACATTCCAGTGAAAACCACATCTTCAGGTGGTCCATGTTAGCTTTATATTTGTTTTATCAGAGAAGATGATGGGTTTTAATTTGTTTAACAATATTAAGATAATGTTGATCAGTGTCGGCACATTTTCTAGTGTTGCATTCAGCTTGCTAACACGTATTTTAGGGTCAAAGTAGCCCTTCTTATCAAACATGCATGTCGATTCAATGATTGTTGTAGGTACTTTCAATTGATTAAATCCATTTTATATTTATTTTTAAAACTTCAAAAAGTATAGGACCGGCCCAAAGGGGCCCGACCCCGTAAATCTTTTTACGTTTGATAGATTAATATTTTAGTTCATTTAAAAATAAGTATTCAAATTAAAAAATGTAAGAATTTACTAAATATTTAATCAAGTAGTAGTCGAACTATTAAAGAATTATCCAATGTTCTCAATTTTTTGGTCTAACAACAATTTAGGTTATTATAAGTTTAAATGATCACCCGAAGGGTACTACATTATTAAGTCATTCGACTATTAAACGTTATAAAATGCTTTTGACTATAAAATATTATTTTATTAAGACTCTCAACTGTTAAAATTATAAAATGACCATTTAACTATTATTATGTTCCAAACTCGTCATTTCCTATTAAAAAAGTAACATTCGTCTGACTTGGATGTTAACATGATGACTGGATATAATAGTCATTTGAGATTCCTCGAACATATTTTATCATACCACAATCAGTAGCTTAACGTTTAGCTCAGAACACCATCAATTTTTAACAGAAAATAACGAGTTTAGAATATATGAACAGTCAGATTACCATTTTGTAACTTTTAATGTCGAGGCACTCAACGAAGCGATACTCTATAATCGTGAAATTTTGTAAATTTTAATAATCAAGAGATTTAATAAAGCATTACTTGATAGTCGATGGATTGTCTGTATCTTTACACTTTGTTTTCTTGGAGGGGGGGGGGAGGAATCCATAAAACAATTGTTAATCTTGTTCCATGATATATCGTTAGCGTGCGAACCATTAAAACACAAAGCAGAAGCGACAAGATGCAATGCTTTTAATTGGCCGGGCCTGCCTGCGTTGCCAAGTCTTTCTTTCTTCGATTTACAAATTGCATAATGAACAGTGGTTGTAACTGTTTATTCTCGGCTTCACAAACCGACGATTAAGGAATATGTTCATTCGAGTAACTGCTTTACATATAAAACCATACGATATGAACGCCCCTTTCTTCTATGGCTACCTACATTAAGTGTCTAAAAATGTCTTATAATATATGATTTTAATAATTTTTTTTTGGATTTGCCAAAAATATCCCTTTATTCCAAATTCGTTGCGATAGTCGAAGTTCGCGTTGCGATTTATTCCAAGTTCTAAAATCGCAACGACTGGTGGTATTGTATTTGTTTCTTAAGAATTTTCTTAAAAAGATAGTATTCACGCGGACGTGTCAAAGACACCACGACCACGACCACAACACGACACGAGACGAGACGAGACGGACGACGGTGGCGGCGCGCGAGAGTCCCCTTGTTCTCTATCACTCAACAAAGAAGTGGGAAAGCCAAGCCTTAAATACTATTCCCAATAGTGTTTCCAATACTATGTGGGATTGAGCATTACCAACACTTGTTCCCAATACTATGTGGGATTGAGCCTTAAATAGTGATATTATTTTTAATTTTGCTTAAAATTGCAATAATCGCGATTGATTGTAGATTGACTTTTAATTATGACATATTTAATCGTATAATACTAATGCAATTGGTTGCTGATTCAGTTGTTTTAAGGTGCATGATTGTTAATTGTTTCTTGAATAATCACATTGTATTGGAAACAAGTGTTGATAATGCTCAATCCTATATAGTATTGTAAACACTATTGAATGGTATTTAAGGCTTGGCTTTCCCACTTCCTTGTTCAGTGATAGAGAACAAGAGGAACTCTCGCGCGCCGTCCCCGCCGTCCGTCTCGTCTCGTCTCGGGTCGTGATCATGGTCATGGTAATACGAGTCTTCGATACGTCCACGTGAATACTATCTTTTTGGCAAATCCAAAACTAATTCGTTAAAATCATATATTATAAGATATTTTTTATCACTGAATTTATTTTCTTTTTAAATATATAATCGATCTCCCAGTTGATAAATAAACAAACACAAAGGCAAATGAAGAGTGTTCAAGAATTGGAATCCTAGTAACCTGAGCCCTCCCCCTTAAGACACGCCCCGACCCTATTTCGTAGCTACAATTTCCCATGCATCCCCCATTAAACTTGAGATATAGATAGAGACAACTCAAGGATTGTTCAAGAAAGACAGACCATAAATATTAATTTACATGTAATATATTAGATTGTAATTATTTTAAAATATATTAAAATTATGTAATTAGAAAATTTATCTTACAGGTTGAAAGCGAACGCAAAATGTTATAATGTGAAACTGAAAAAATTATTAAAATATAATAACATGATGCACTTAAAATGTTATAAGCGGTAAGAAAATTAGTTATTAAAAGTAAATGTTGTGAATATTATTAACATTTTAAGTTACGTCGAAAATATTACTTTAGTTTAAATTAATGGGGCCTTAGACATTCGCACGATAAGAAAATAAGTTAAAATCTGAAAATGTTATAAATGTATATAATAAATTGTGTTGTGTCCAAGAATGTCATGGTTCATTAAAAAAAGTTTGCGATCTGGAATGTTAATATATATTTCTCTAAATAAGATGGGTTGAATCCAATAATGTCATGGTTCACTAAGAAATAGGATAGAATTTGGAACGTTAATATTTTTATTAATAAAATGGGTTGTGCCCAATAATATCATGGTTCACTAAAAATATAAGTTGCGACTGGAATGTTAAAATTTTATTATAAAAAAATTCGAAATTATAAAAAAAATCGAAAGCATGTATACTTTTTCACAAGTGTGTTACTTTTCAAATTTTAAAAACACATGAAAAATGAGAAAGCTGAGAAGTTTCGATATTTTTTTCAAAAATATAATACTTTTAAGTTCGAAAGTTAAAATCATCTTCCATATTTCCCTTAAATTCGAAAGTATATATACTTTTCCACAAGAATAGATACTTTCGAATTAAAAAAATGAAAGAAGAGAAGACTAAAAAGTATTAATACTTTTCCAAAAATATTGATACGTTTAAATTCGAAAGTTAAAATATCACTTTCCATGTTTTTTTTAAAGTCGAAACTATGAATATTTTTTCACAAGTATCGATACTTTTAAAATAAAAAAGAATATTCATACTTTTGAATAAAAAAACTTCGAGTATCAACATCTATAAACTATCGATGTTTGTAAAAAAAATTCAATACTGTGCAGCTTTCTCGTTTTTCATGTTTTTTAAAATTCGAAAGTATTTATACTTGTGGAAAATATTCATACTTTTGAATTTTTATAATAAAAATTTTAACATTTTAGGTCGCAACTTATTTTTTAGTGAACCAATACATTCTTGGGCATAACTCATTTTATTAATAAAAATATTAACATTTCAGATCATAACATATTTCTTAGTAAACCATGACATTCTTGGGCTCAACATATTTTATTAATAAAAATATTAACATTCAAGATCATAACCTATATCTTAATGAACTATGATATTCTTGGACACAACCCATTTTATTAATAAAAGTATTAACATTCCATATCGCATCATATTTCTTATTGAACCATGATATTTTTAGACGTAATCGTATTTTTTTATATATATTCATAACATTTTCAGCTTTTAACTTATATTCTTATCGTTTGAATATCTAAGGTATCATCACCTTAAACTCTAGAAACATTTTAAGCACAACTTAAAATGTTAATAATATTCACGACATTTACAGTTTATAACTTATTTTCTTACCATTTATACCATTTATGTGCAATATGTTAATTTATTACATTGATAACTTTTTTGATTTTATTTTATAATATCTTATATTTTGTTTTTAACATGTTACTTTTTTTTTTATCAATCACAGCATTTGTTAGTGCACCTCACAACTCACAAGTGAAAAATAGTATCGGTTAAAAATATTTATGAAATATATATATATATATATCATAAATTTATTTTTCAATTTTTTTTATTTTTACAATTGAAATCGCACTGGCACTTTACCAGGTGGAACAAACCCATCCCATCTCATGAAAGACAGAGTTAACATTAAGTACGTTTTTGGTTAAGTCATGTCACCATCGTCGGGATTGTTCCAACGTCCAAGTACGTAGAAAGTACAATTTTTCTTGAGGAATATTTAGGGAGTGAAAAGAAGTATTAAATGGAGGACTAGGAGAGCATAATCTTGAAATTGCAAGGGCCTTGGTTTATGAGATAAAGAGATGAGAACGTGGGGTGTTGGGACCCCATCCACAACACCGCCCATGCTCACATCACGCTGTCTTTTACCAAAACTAAACCCCATCCGCACACATATGAATGAACCAAAAGTGGTGAAAAATATATAATATTAATTAATAAAGCACAGACATGTAAATATATTTACCCCTTTTATAACCACAGAGACGTTTGTAAGTCGTTTTCTATATTTTCATTTTATTCATTTCCATTCTTACAGATTTTTTATTCACTACTTTAAGGAAAAATATACACACAGGAATACAGTGAACTGTTTCAAATTAGAGTTCTTTTGAATTTAAATTATAATATTTTCATAGTTAAAATCAATATTGAAATATAAATTTATTAAGTTAGATTTTCAGATAAAACAAAATCGAGTGATATCGCCATTCACCGTGGATATTATGATGCCTTTGAGAATCTAACCCTAACCCACGACACTTTTGACCACAATACGCCTCAGATCTAGGCCAATAAACCACCTCTCCCTCTCTCATGCCCTTCCTCTTCCGAACCCTTAACCAAAACTTATCTGCTTACAAGACCAGCAGACCACTTCCATGAACTATCTATGAACTCACGTGAAAATCAGTACAGAGAAAGATAGATGGATGGCTTGATTCGGCTTTATATTTGGTGGTCGATGCTTCAAATCTCTTCCCTCTCCCTTTTTTGGTGAAACCTGTAGCTGTTCGAAGTACCCAGCAAACGGAAAAGAATAAACCCCAAAGCTCTAACCCTGTAAAGGAATTGGAACAGAAACCCCGTAGTCCTTTCTCTCTCTCTCTTTTGATCCATCGAAATTAAGCTGGTTCTTGCACGTGTTAGCTAGTTGTTGATGATCAGATTTGAACTTTGAAGGGAAGAACAGAAATGGATCCGATAACAGCTCATGGCCGCCATCTTCCTTCTTTCCTCGCTAGGGATCTTCATTTAAACCCGCACCATCAGTTCCATCACCACCACCAACAGCAACAGAATTCCGAAGACGAACAAAACCGTGGCCAGAAGCGAGATCGAGAAGAAACAGCCGCCACCACGACCGCCGCTGAAACAAACGACACGGGTGGAGGCAAGGAGTTGGCCGTATCCGAAGCCGAAAACACAAGAAGACCACGAGGCAGACCCGCCAGTTCCAAGAACAAGCCTAAGCCGCCGATAATCATAAACCGGGATAGCGTCAATGCTCTCCGGTCACACGTTATGGAAATCGCCACAGGCTGTGATATTATGGAGAGCGTTTCTACTTTCGCCAGGCGGAAACAAAGAGGGGTTTGCATTTTGAGCGGGAGCGGAACCGTAACGAATGTAACCTTGAGGCAACCTGGAGCTCCCGGTGCAGTGGTGAATTTACATGGGAGGTTCGAAATTTTATCACTTTCTGGGTCGTTTTTACCTCCTCCGGCACCAGCGGCTGCATCAGGATTGGCCATATATTTAGCCGGTGGTCAAGGTCAAGTAGTCGGAGGGACCGCGGTGGGTCAACTTGTTGCTTCGGGTCCAGTGGTGATTATGGCAGCTTCTTTTGGTAATGCTGCGTATGAAAGACTTCCATTGGAGGAAGAAGAACAGCCAGTGGAGCCTCCAATTCCTGGTAGTGGAACCTTAGGGTCACCGAGAAGCATGGCTTCTCAACAACAGCAGCCACAACTGTTGCAAGATCCCAATGGATCTTTTGCTCAAGGATTGCCACCAAATCTTCTAAATTCGGTCCAAATGCCAGAGGAGGCCTACTGGGGCACAGGTCACCCCCCTTATTAACAAAAAACACAGAAAATTTCGTGTTTCTTTTCTTCTTCTTTCTCCTCTTTTTTTATCACTCTTGTATTCCTCTTTATAAAATAATAGATGTTTAAGTGAAGTATTAATGTTGATCACCATGGCTTTAATTTGAAGTACTTTGAAGAAGAATGTACAGATTTCCTGGAATATATCTTCCCTGGTGTGGATTTTCTTCCCAGTTGTAGCAGCGTGGCAGTCATTTCTTTCACTCTTTTCTTGTCTCAGAAATTTGTTTTAAAAATCTTGAGTTGGAAGAAAGGCAAAGGAGATGGGAGGTTATGGGCTTAGCGTTTTGGTGTCTTTTGTGTAACTTCCTTTTTTCCATAATGGAATCAGCTTGTCCGGTTACACGTGAGCTGCTGCGTATGATAAAGAAGGAAACTCCTTCTCGAGGCAACCATTTCCTTGTATAATTCCCATGTAAAAAAGCCAAGCCGACAACATGAGTAAAGAAGCATGCAGGACAAATTGAGTCTGCTCCTCATGCGTTCAAGTTCCATCCTTCTCGAAAAAAACTGTCACTGCCCACTATACTTGTAAAGTGGCATGGACTGAATCAATTACAGGAGGTAAGTTCATGTTTTGTTTCTACTTGTTATAATAGAATAAAAAACACAGAGTTTGCTTTTATTCTTGATTCAGTATTCTTCTTTATACATATAATATATGAAGTTTTATATCCTCCTTGGTTGTTTGTATCAGATGCCTGCGCTTACTTAATGATGTTTATTAGTTTCTATAATTTTAGCTCACTGATCCTTGGTAGTACATGCATATGCATGCAAACTCTTTTTTAGGTGGTTATGATAGTGATAAAATAAATCCTAAATTTCCTACTTCATTAAAGCTTTATGTAGCTAGGCATGTAAATGAACTTAATGTTCGGCGAATTATTCGACGGGAAGTTCGTTTATATTTGTTTAATTGAATGAAGGAACGAACACGAACAAAAGGCTGGTTCGTTTATTTATGTTCATGAACGTTCGATAATCTGCTCGTTCATTTATGTTCGTTTATGTTCTCCAGACCTATTTGAAATATTAAGACTTAATAAATTTTAACCTTAAATCCAATAATATTTTTGAACTTAATTAATTTTAAACCCAAATAAAAAATACTTTAATCAATTAAAGAAAATATATATCATATAATTATTTGAAAAGAAAAAAATTATTCTCAAATATTATCCCAAATAATTTTATGTTCGCTCGTTTATGTTTGTTTATCTTCTTTCGTTTACGTTAGTTCATTTGTTTTTGTTTATCATTTAAACGAACAAACATAAACAAACACGAGCAAGTTAAATTTCTTAATGAACGAACACAAACAAGAAATTTGGTTCGTTTAGTTTGTGTTCATTCGTTTGTTTAATTTGTGTTCATTCGTTTGTTCGGTTAATTCGTTTGTTCGGTTAAAATTAAATGGGTAGGAATGGAGTCCAACGAGCCGTGAAAAGAGATTTTTGAATCGGGAAAAAAGGAGAGACTAAAAGTGCAATTTTACCAAACCAACGCTGATCTCCATTCAATGTGGGTGGGGCCGGGGGACAAATAGGGCTAGAGCGAGTTCATCCTCTCCCCCTATTCCCCTAACCCTTCCTCATTTCCCCCCCCCCCCCCCCTCAAAATAGAGCATTGGGTGAGAAAGGATCAATCTTGAAGAATTTATTACTTCATCAAGATAATGTTCGCTTCTTCACTTCAAGAGTTTCAAGGCAATGCTGGAAATTCATGTTTATTCAATACAAAGCTCTTGCCTCTGATTGACTGCCTCTTTCAAGAGCAAAGAGCCCAAGCCCATGTGCCTTAACAAAGCCCTCGCACAACTTGGGTTTTTTAGGCTAGTTTTCATGTTGCCATTTGGAGCAAAAAGGTAGAGTTTTGGTCATTTTGTCAAGGAAATTGGCTGGTAAAAATGTATAGGAGCAGCTACCCATCGTCTAATGGTTCAAATATAATTTTTTTTGGGATAAAAAACGTCTTGTTTTCTTAAAAATAAAAAATATCCAGAATTACAATAAAGATTTATAAGTATAATCTTAAACGTAAACTAAATTATAATTAGGACATTTTCCTATAACCATTGACACAAAAATTAGCTACCTAAATCACACAATGACCATAAAAGGAAAAGGTTAAAAAGCCTAACAAATACTCGAACAAAATAAAGATACGAATAAATCTGATCGCATCGACAAACGAACCACAAAAGATGATGAAATTACTGAAAGACCACCGACAAATCGTAAATCAGAGTCAAAATGACATGATAAAACTATCGACTAACGTAAAACGGGTATCCAAATAAATTCGAGGGTCCAAAGCAGGGAACATCAGCATAATAACAAATAAATGTCATCTTGATCAGTCGTGGCGATGTCAAATCCAACCCTGAGAAAAAATAAACGAAAACAATGGTCGAACGACCGAAAACTACCCAAAGGCAGAAAAACACGCCACAAAGTACGCCGTAAAGGTGAAATATAAATTAATTTTGTTAAATGAAATAAAATTATAAATATAATAATATTTTTCTATCAAAATATTTAATTTTATGATATTCTTAATATTTGAAATAAACTGTATTTTGAAGTCGAGACCTAATTTAATTAAATTAATTTTATACGAATTGATCCGATTGCTTGATAAAGCTCAACTTAAAGTTCAATTCCATGTATTTTCAACTATTTATATTCTTAACAATTTGATATTGAACGTTCATATTCTTAACAATTTTGACTCTCGAACATGATATCTCAAATAATAACAATTCATTTACTACTTAAGTTGTTAAATCCATGCTTAGAACTTCTTTTTATATGTCTCAAATGCTAATATATTTAGAAATCTATTTATTAGTTGAGTGAAAAAGTATTCGTCCTATCTTATTATGCGTCGATTTAAATTTCAATATTTAATTAAATATAATATATCTTTATTTGATAAAAAAAATGCTACTATATTTCTCTTAACTGTGGTCGTTTTGCTTTGGTGATAACACGGTCCTTAAACTTTGTTAGATGAGCAGTAGCATGAAATACCAAGGTCATGGGTTGGCTCTGCTCCTACCCAAATGAAACCCAAAAATGGGGCTCAGTAATCACTAGGGAAATGAAGATTTAGAACTATATAGGATACTTATTTAGTACAAAATGATTCCCGGGTTTCAAATAACAATCCGTGATCGCGATTTAACAGTTTCGTCGCCGTCCGAGTTACACGGCCGTAATCACGGTAAATTCGAAATGACCATGACCGCGACCGCGATTTGAAAACATGATGATTCCACATGCTTGATAATACAATTAATATACCCATAGAAACTCCAAAATTATTCCAAATCAAAAGATAAACAACAAAGAAATAAAGAAGCACCCCCCTAACCGTTAACTACTCCACTAATTCTCTTCGTATATCTTCTCCATCACTGCTAAACTATATTATAAATATGTTGCTGGTTCTCACCATTGATTGTGGGTACCAGAGAACTTGTTTTGTAGCTGAGCCAACAGTGTTTGGTTTTCCTGGTGAAGGAGAAGAGCTTTCTCTCTAAGCCTCTCGTTCGCTTCCATGATGATTTGATTCTCCACGTATAGCTTCAAGTTCTTCATCTGGATACATGTTTTAACACCCCATCATCGTCTTCTTTGTCCCTGATCCCTTCCTTAACCTCCTCAACCTGTACCATTAAACATCCTTATTAGAAACCAGACACGCACAAAACAACGACAAACGGATCGAGGAAAACTAAAGTTAACCTGTCGAGTCTTGGAATACGAACGATATGTCGTTGCTTGGAAAGACGTCCAGGAGAGTTAACCCACATGGTCTTGTTTTATGAAAAGAAAAAGCTAACCGGAAGAGATGATCGTTGTGTGCACCAACAAGGGTGAAAACACAAGTGTTATATAGCTGGGAAATTGTGTTTGTATCTGAAACCAAAGATGGAAAAGGAAAGAGAGAGAAGGGAGGGCTTTTGAGAGTAATGATGGCACACAAGGACTCATGATTACTTGGGGAGCGGCAATAGAAGAAAGAACTGCCAGAGAGAAACAAGGAAAATAAAAATAAAATAAAAAAAGGGGTTTTCTTTCTTCTATTTTATCTTTGTGGAATGGATGTACGATTACTAATAAATGTGATCGAGCGTGTAAAAGACTCGAGGCACACAGAAAATGACTAATCCTTCTTCTTCTTCCTTCCTTTTTGAATTAGGGGACTGTCTCTTTGGCCTCCATGGATACCCACATTTGGATACTTGGTTGTATTCAAACGATTTGGTGCCAGTTGTTGATGCCATCATTGCTGTAGGAAAAAATAGGTTGAATATGATGCGTTCTTTTTTTGCTCTTAAAATATTCATTAACGCAATTCACGACTTAATCCAGGGTTCATATCATGTGGCTGGTCAAAAGTTTTGATCGTAAGTAGACAAGTATGACCTGATTACCCCACCGATGTGTTGCTGTTGTTGTTATCACAGTATTCGACTCAATTTTACAAAGAAAGGGGAAGGAAAGTTTATGTAACGTGTAATTTCGAAAGGTAACTTTTGATGATCCCTTGCCCTGGCCATACGTTCACCTTTAAAAAAAATAAAATTTAAACCATGTTTTTTTATATTTATGTACCAATATTTGAATTTTTAAAATAAATTAAATTAAATTTAATCATTTAAATTTTAAATAATTTATATTTTGATCATTACCTCATTATTAATTCATGGCATCATGATAATGCATAAGACTCCAAATCTTTGTTTATTTATCTTGAAAAACTCTTAAAGTCTTCTTAATATTTAATTTTTATATTCTCTTTGATTTTTATGACTCTTGAATATCTTCGTCCAAATTTCACCGTATAGATAGGGATGACAAACGGGCAGGTCGAGTACGGATATCCCTCCCCCATCCCCATACACACCTAATATTTTTCAATTCACCACCCGTCTACCACTCATGATGGGTAAAAATTTTCAAATTCACACCCGCCCACGCGAGTACATTCTGAAATCCATCCCCACACCCACTACCCACTGGAGAAGTACCCGGCTAGACCCGCCTGACAACAAACTTAAGTTATACATAAGCAACAAACATAAAACAAACACATCTATTAAGAAACATAATATAATAAACCAAGGATTATCTGAGTTAAGTGTTAATATAGATCTTAAAGTACATAAAACATCATAATAAAAGACATAATTAAAGTCTAGAAACATAAATGACAAACACATAATGTTTTTGTTCTTTGGCACAACATTCTAAAATTTCAAGCAATACTTGTGACATCTGATACTCCAGTATTACAATCATCATTATCATAAAACACCATAATAAAACATCAGGATTGCAAAATACTCGGTTTGAAATTTGAATTTAAAAAAGTCAGTTTCAATTGAAACACTTAATTCTATTCAGTGGCGTTAAAAATGGAGATTTGAGAAGCAATGATCTGACTCTGTTAGCCAAAAACGTGGGTGCTCAGTCACAAGATACTGATTTGTAGAACATTAAGAAATTAAGCTTAAAACAAACATTAAGATGAATCTAAAAAATAATTAAAAATCAATACGAG